CGGTCGTTACATTTACCGTAAAGGATAGAAACAGTTTATGCGCATGCGTTTTTTAAACGGTTCGTGTGACCTCGACACTATGGAAAGGAAAGTTTTTTGTTGTGTAAATATTGGAAGTAATTAAATTGGAAGATTATGGTAGATTGTGGAAATAAATTTGACATTGTGGAAAGGAAAATATAATATTATTATAGAAATATTGACTGGATAAAAGTTGAGTAGAATTTAATAGGTTAAAAAAGTTTGTGATTGGAGTGTTTAGGTTAGAATTTAGATTTGGAATTGAGATTGCTCGAATATTAGTCGAAAAAAAGTTAGATTAAATAGATTGAAGGATTGATTCAAGTTTAGGTCTTTATCTAATCGATCTCTCCTTTCACAACAAATGAAACGAACTATCTAAAATCCAACTATAACAATAATATACAATTTTCAGGAATAGATTTTCTCAGATATCCGCACAAGTTCAATCCTTGATTTCAATTTATACAACACAATACTCAATTATCGAATATATTCAATTCTTAATTCCAATTTATATCTCATTTCAACACCTGTTTTATCTCATGAGCTCTAACAATGTAACGATCTCGACATTCAAAGAATTCAAAGAAACATTCAACACCGATTATGACCGAGCATTTAAGTTGACAGGAGGAATCACTAAGATGTTTAATCGCGAAACTTCATTCAGACCGAGATCTTGAGTTGAACCGAAGCGAAAGCGTCAGTCATTTTGCAATTTAAAAGAACGAAAGTCGTCTGCATATCATAATCATCATTAAAATGTGCGATTCACGTATTTTACACGGAGGCCATCGACGACACCGACAGGATTAATATTTCCGATACGGCCAAGGCTCATTGCATTTCCAGTTGGAAACTGCTTCCTCTACTCTTGGTACAATCACCCTATATGAATCATTAAAGAAACAATGCTGAAGGCAGTGGCGTATCTATCATATGCGTGGGTGGTGCAGCTGCACCAACGCGGCTTGAACCTGAGGAATCTTGACCATGAGTTTTTGTAGTTTTTCGTTGCAGATGTACGTTCTGAAATTCAAGCTTCTTTCTTACGTACGAACATTTTTAATTATGACGATACTTTATTATTGCAAAGTATCGATATTATTTTGCAATCAAATTGTAATTTTTTAATTTTTTATAATTAATTCTTTTATATCTTGATGACAATTTCAATTCTAAAATTATTATTACAATGTTATAATATTAGTCTTTTGCTATTAGATTATTCTAGAGAAAATAAAAGACTTTCAGTTTTCTTTTTAAATGTATTTCTTTATGAATTAAAAAATGAAAAATAAGAAAATTTTCCAATTTCTAAATTCACTATTTTACACAATATACTACAAAAATCAAAAATTAAAATTATCAACGCATTTTATAAAATCCAATTACATAAAAAAAAGTTAGGTTAGTATTTCCTGTCGTCAAGGACCTATCGAACTACATCACTAAATAACACTATTTATTTAAAATTAATAGATAAAATTAAAAGAAATTTTAACTTGAAAATCTATAGAATAAGTATAAAGGATGAAAAATAAAATCTCGGTCATTGACTTGCCATCCCACGCCAAAATGATTCTTTCCTCCGAGCCATCGATTGCAGTTCTCGACTTAGCACGTTATTAAAACGACACCTCGTATCGATCTCGCTTATCGATGCCATACTTCAGACGGTACGGAGGAACGGTAGCAGTAGTGTGGCGCGCGTTTTAACTGCGCAAGCGTGTCCGCCACGACTGAGAAGGACTACTAGCAAAAACCTTTGCTACTATCCGGCGAACTTTATTGAATGAAAATGCCGCTACGTTTTTGTCCCCGTCCCAGCATCTCTCCCGGACCGAATGAAACAATGGCCATTATGTGAAACATTCGCGTGTCCGTATAACATACATATATGCATGCCTTCACGTGTGTATTACGTCTTTTTCTAAATTTGTACACGGATGCCGACACATTTAAACGTAGAAACATATACGTGTATATAAATTATAGATACTTACATATACACATCTTTTGCGTATATAGATATAAATACAAGTATAAACATTTTGAGATATACGTGTGTGTAGAATCTGCATATATAGTCGTTATAAGTACATATATATATATATATGTTTCGTTTATGAATGAATGGATGTATATAAATATGTATTTGGATATGTGTACTCAAATGTACACGTATCTAGTAGACGTATTCGAAATACGTGTATATGTGTATAAATGAATGAATGAACCTGTGTAAATGTGCTTGTAAACGTGTCCTAGGTACATACTATATATATATATATAGCATATACATATTCTCCATACCTACATTTATAAATGAATAAATTTATATGTATAAATATATATTTATATAAGTATATACAACGTATAAAATCTAAACATATTCCACATACGATACATACATTTTTTATGTACAAATGTAAAAAACTTATTATAAATGTGCATTATATACAATGAGCAACATATACGTTCTATTCACATAGAACATATATATATATATATATTCATCTTTGTGCATAAATGAAAAAACGT